AGCAAGCGCGCAAGAAGTCATCGATATTGATATAAGCATGGAACAGAATACAGCCGCTTTTCATGACATGTACCATCGTCTCTTCGTACTCATCCCTGGAACATCATCATAGAACTCTTCGACATTTGCAAGAAAGAGCATAACTCTTGGCCGCTTTGTTTCATCTGAGTGATGCGATGGCTTGCATTTTCGCAGAACCTTAAGCCAAGAGACCGAAGTGCGTCCCTCTCCAAGATTTCACCTACACTGTAACAAACCTAAAGCCAGCTCCAGCTGCTTCACTCGTCGCATTGTTGACTAGCGACCCGTCGCTCGCGACCGTAACATAAAGCCCATTGCTGTATGCCTTGATCGAGTACACCCCGTTCGCGGCTCCAGCCTTCTGCCTGATGATGAACCGCTCCCAAGTTGACGCTACCGCCCGGGCCGCCGCGAGCGCATAGTCTCCCGATGAGTCGGCAGTCACGTACTGACCCGTACTGGTGAGCACCAGATTTCCCGAGTTGGGAACATACGTGCTATTGAAGGTCGATGCGCTGCTAGTCGAATTGGTGGAGGCGACGAGGTTGACGTTGGAGCTAGAGGCTGTGACATATTTGCCGGATTTGACGTCCTGGATGACGAAGCTTCCGTATGGGTTCTCCGGAAGAGAACTGCATATGGGAACGCCGCTTGGGTTCGGTCGTGTTCCGATAAAGAAGAGCTCGTTAGAGTATGTTTGCCCGGTGCCTGTGCCTGTGTATCAGCGCTTTGATGGGGAGAGGCTAGGGATCATAAGAGCTGCACGCACCCCAGCTAGTGATGTTGGCACTCCATGCTACGGCATCGTGTGGATTTGCGTTGGAGTACGCCGCGATGATAACACATTTCCTATGTCGTCAAGGGTAAGCTATATTGTCGAAATGCAAGTCAGGACTATAACAAGACGCACCACTCATCTCCGATGGAAGGGTCCACCATCTCGGACATTGTGTAGTCCCATACGTTCTCCACCCACTCAGCGTCATAGAGTACCTATAAAACATCAGTGTCTCCCAGGCAATCATTAAGATAAAGACACGCTGTGAGTGACCCACCTCATTCACAGGAGTGACCGGCAAGATTTGGATTGCTGCAATCTGACTTCTCTCAGCTCCCCAGTACAGCCACGCGCCGGCCTGATAGTCCATAACATTGCCCATCGTGATCAAGTCTCTGACGACCGGCTCGGGGTACGGGTTGTCACGAGCCGTTTCGCTTTGTTCTGGATACAAGTGCCAGTATACTTGGGCGCCATGTTGTTCCGTGGCGATTAGCAATTTCGCGTAGTTGACATAGTCTTGAGATAGAGTTGTGGATGCCCAGAGTAGCGCGCCATAGTACCCGTTGATGGCCTCACCGCTAGACTCCTGGTCCCGGCTGCCTGCGCCGTTTGCGATTCCAGATGCCCAAGAATGGCCAGCAAACCAGTCTCGGCAGCGAGTAACGGGGAAATACGGGTCCTCAGGCGAGGGGTTGATGATGTCCCTGAATAGATGGTCAGCAACGTTTATATGATTATGTTCTTGTCAAAGGCAAACATACCTGGCGAACCAGTTGATGTAGTCCCTGTGCTCGTTCAGCCACGTCCCATTGAATCTGGCAATAACAGCAGCGACAGTAAGGAAATAGCCGTAATGGAAGTGATGGTCGTTGTAGTACCCATTGCCGAAGTCAACGTTCACATCTGTTGCGCCGGCCTTGCTGATGACGCCTCCCCAAGCTGTCTCATATGCAGGCAGTGTGGTTGACGTGGACTCAAACCAGTACTGGAAGGACGTCTCGAGATATTTAACGACCGGGTTAATAAGATCTGAGCGCCCGAGATTCTCCCTATATATTCATTATCAGTATTCACATATATGTAATGGAGTGATAGGAATGTCTTACGCAATGAGGGCTAGCCGCGCCTGTGCAGCAAGAGCGCCGCCCCAGTAGTAGAAATCACCCGGAATAGGCGCTGAAGAAGTGTCCAGCAAGCCGATTTCATACTCAAGCCCTTGAATGAGGGATGATTCACACGAAGAATCTAGCGCACGCGTTGGGTTCCACGAGATATCGGTGGTGTTGTAGAGCATTTGCCATTGGTAACCGAGTGCTGGATACATCCATCCCTATTATCTCTTTGTTAGTAAACCATATCTGTTAATTAGAGTAGTCTTTAAGGTACCTTAGTCGTAAGGTATGCAAGCGAGGCAGTGTCAGGGAAGTCAGGGTTCTGCATAGTTAACCTGTGGTGCGGCCATGTGAGCATCAATAGATCCTCTCGATCTCCGCCATACGTAGCCCAGCTGAATATGAGCGTGCCTGTTGTGTCTGTGAATGAATAATCAAAGTCCTGACGGACCGGATAGACTTGATAATGCTCGTCTAGAAGCGTCTTGTGCATACTCTCGTTGAGCATGACGAGGCGGAGGATTCCGTTCAAAGTGTTTGAAGCAGTGATTGTACCAGAAGAAGATGAATCAGCACTGGCGGTCAGAGAAATCGAGGAGAGGGAATATATCAGATACGTCGTCCCTTCTGTGTCCGTGACGTTAAATTGAGTGCCGGTTGCAGTTGCTGTGCGCCCTGATCAGCCTGTCAATCATGATCATACACGATGAAGTGGAATATACTAGTCTCGCCAGTAGTCAGCGACTGTCCGTTGAAAGATGCAATGCCGCCATTGCGCGATGTCAAAAGAGGAGTGGCCCCATTGTACTCAAATGTCATGTACGGTGATCCAGGAACCAAATAAGCCGTCATAGTTGAGCTGTCCTCAAAGTACTGAACGGTGACTGTCTGCGTATCAAAGGCGGTCGCCTTGTGATTTTCAAAAGTGCCTGAGTGTTCAACGAAGGACGCACGCCAATCATTGTGTGTCCATTGCTGAATAGATGTTCCGTCCCAAGTCCGGTCATTGCTGATACCAAAGAGGATGCCGTAGCCGTCTAGATTGGATTCGTACGGAAAGGGTCCAGCAGCCGTACCAGTGCCGGGGTCTGCGGCGTATGGAGCCCACCACGAATTCGTGGGAAACTAGACTGTGTTTAGGTGGCTAGTCTAGTTATGTTCAGATGACTGCTTACCGGAGGTTTTAGATCAGCAAAGAATGAACTCAATGGGGGTGACCCATTGGCAACTTCGCCGCCTGCGATATCAGCAGCCGAGTCCGTCGCAATAGGGGCGAAGACGCCACGCCCTTGTATGGACTCTGGCCTTCTCTTCGGCAAATGGTCATTGCTGCTATGGTGACGACCAGTAGTTCCACCTCGAGGGAAGACTGCGCTATCAACGCCTGATGCGAGAAGGAAAAGTGACAGCAGGCTACGCATCATTGTGCAAGCGCTATCGAGATAGAAGAAGCGACGAAAGCTAACGTCTACACTTTGATGTTCATTTATCGTGACGCACGGCACCCTACTTAAAGGGTTGCAATGATGGTAACTTTGCCGTTGGTATGCTCAGATGTGGCCGGTGTTGAACTCCGGTGCTGTGAGCGTGGGCCCGGAGGACCGCACGTGGGCCGCACTAGGCGATGTGATCTCGACATATTCCCATGTACTGGCCATGTTGTCTATTCCCGAATGGTAGAGGAAGGATCTGTAATTAGCTACATCTGCGGCCCTTTCCTGGGATCATACGTTGTATTATTGCTGTCGACTTAGAGAGAAACCCATGTGCCCCACCTCAGGGGTTGTCCCTTGCATGGAGATGAAAGGCTACGATACAGTCCCATGCCTGGCAGTGGCGGCCAGCCTAGCGTGGCTCAATGCCCGTGGTTACGGGGCCGTCACTGGACGAGATAGAGACTCTTGCTAACCTGTTCCTGCATCATCAGCGCTGCAAATGACGTTGAGTTGCTTGGAGCATGTGTCAATGACTAGGTTGAGCTGTGTTGTTGAGTGTGGCCTGTTGATGCCGTGTGGCCGAAGGGAAGACTACGCTTGCATGTTTCCAGCTTCGTAGCTATGCGGTCCGTGCCGCAAAGTAGGGATAGAAGCTTAAATTGTGAAGATTCGCGATGGACACATGAGTTCTAGCCCTTCATAGCGTCACTCACACGATACCGACCGATCAGAACTACATCTACCATCGTGCATCATGCATGGTAGAAGCCGCAAGAAACGGCACTGAGGGCGCCACGCGCCACACCCAAATATTATGGCCGGATTGCCCCGTTGAACACGTTGGCACATTCCTGACACCTATGTCCGGCCGTTTTAGCGCCCGGCCCTTCTCCGGGCGTTGAATCCTTCGGACCACAGCCTGCCATCCAGGGTGGTCATGCCATACAAAAGAAGTGCAGTAAACACATTATGAATCTAAAACTAGCATTACAAAGCAAGGGACATTGTGAAAGATACTTGACTAGTAGTGAGTCGTATCTGTGATCCATTAGAATGAGTAAATGTGTAGTTTGCCCAGAAATTAGCCCGCCAGAGTGGCTATTCAAACCAAGACTCACATCATTCCAGTCAATAGCCGTTCAGTCGATCGATTACGACACTGCTAGAGCATGTATTATAGTGGGCAGTCCTATCGATAAGATGTTTGATCCAGAAAGATGAGGATAGAGAAGTAACACTGGCCATCTTATTGTGTATGAAATGATCGTCGTTCAAACTCAAGTAATTGAGTGCGATGCCCTGTCGGCAGTGGGTTATTTTGTATTGCCTTTCTACCGGCTACCGGCGGCGACGACAGAAGACATCCGACTGCACGCACGCAGCCGACCAACAAACACATCTAGAGCCTTACACTGACCTGGAAGTCCCTCATAGATCATTTCGTGCAACTATCTCAAATCCACATTTTCGGAGGGAGGAATGGCTCTTTAGCTATGGGCATTCCGGTATTCCCTCTTTCTTAATGTGCCTGGGCTGAGATTTGCTTGTGAACTAAGAAGCGGGCCAAGTATGGCCCCAAAAGAGTAGCTTTGCAATCCGACAAACAAATCTTGTTTATCATCTCAAAAAGTTAAAGCTCATGAAGCCTGTGAGCCGCCATTACCTTCTTCAATAGACTCTTCCAAGAAAAACGAGCTTGAGATCTGACCAGCCTTCACAACGCGCTGCAATACTGATAGAACACTCCGTTCAATCACCGCGTCCTTGCCTTTTTCTTCTTCGGTCACTACCATGACGCGGGCGAGATACCGTAGGAGGCCGTGCAGAGTCTCTATTTTGTCAGTGGCAGCCGCAAGCGAATTGGCCAGAAGAGCGGGCATGTAGGTCGGCTGCACAGCAGGTTCCTCAGTTGAACCATCCAGGTTCAGTCGGTAAATAAGGTCGGTCCTAGTCGTCGTCTCGAGCGACTTCCATGATGATTCATATAGCGTAGCTGTTTCCAGATTAAAGACGTTACCAAGGCAGAGCAAGCGGAGAAGTGCACGCTCAACCGAATCATCGAGAGCAAGTGACCTGAAGCCTTTGCTCACCAAAAGATCATTTCGCGAGCCGAGAACCATGTCATATGCACCCCGGAAATCTAATTTGCCGCTTATGACACCCTCGACGGCCGAGTGGACCGTTCGAAAACCCTGATAGATCGGCTCGTTCAATTTCTTAGCACAAGTCCAATCGTGTTGACCATCTGCGCCCGCAACGTCGAGTAATTGCTCCATGAACCGAAAAGCAAAAGCAAACGCCTTATCGCGCATCGCCAAAATTGCAGCCAAGCATTCTGGCGCATTTTCGGCTTGAGCCATTTGACCAAATATGAAGACAGCACCCAATTTGATACCTTCAATGATGGAGTCTTTATAACGGCCCTCTAGACGATCGATGCATGGGACAAGGCCTGCTTCTACTGCCTTGAGGAGGACATGATCGTGGTTCAGGCTCGAAATATCTTCGCCCGTTTTCGCAGCATAGTCCAAAGCCAATTGGTGATCCTTCCCGAGATCGTTCGTCATGATAGCTGTGACAATGGCTTGAAGTGCTGCATCATCTCTGATGCAATTCGTAAAGTATGTCTGCATCCAATTGAAGGATGTCGGTGTCAATCTGAGTGCCTCCGTTTGGGATCCCACGAATTTGATGTATTCTCCTCTCCATAACCATCGAAGAGCAAGCACACCAACAACAGTTCGGTTAATTTCGTCATATTCTGTTCCATACAGTATCTGCGAAGGGGACGGCGATCTGGTGGGACGGGCAATGGACTCGTTCCGAACTGCATATGCCCGCTTCAGACGTTCCAGCACGTCAGGATACTCGTCGCAAATGAGGCGAACAGCCTCTTCGTCTGTAATCGAAAAGAAGTTATTGAGATCCATGCGTGAGGAAAGTTCTTTGCGACACTCTATCGTAGTGATGATATGGTAGGAAGGCTTCCAACACCTGAAATGGACCGCGCGAAACTAGTTACAAAAACTCAACTTAATACACAAGCCGCATTATTGGACCTGAAACATTAACCCATCTGACATCATGTTAGTGCGCGTATGTTTTAGGCAGATATGCACTCGACCCAAGGCAGATTTTGAGCATGTCCAGCCTTGCCAAAAGAATGACGCATGCAGCCACTACAGCAGGGCTCATGCATCAAGTGGTGATACCATAAAGCAATGGTTGCCCAATCATGTTCATGGACAGGCTTGGCCGTACATGCCTTTCTGCATCTAATAAATCAATGTTGACTGTGTGGCGGCTGTGAAGATGATAACTTTTATTGCTGGAGACGGGGCCTTGCTTGTGAAGTGTTTGCCTGGGAGAGTCTCCACGTTGTTGTTATCTCAATACATGGTGCTACAAAGGATAGATGAAGAACTTGTTCTCAAGGTCCGTCAAATCCAGCAAGGCAATCTCAACTTTTCTGACAACTAGCTCCCCATTCTCATCCAGCTGCTCGACGCGACCGAGGTCTCTTTCGTCTTCACTCAACGAGGCAATCCATTCCTGCCTCTCTTTATTACGACGCTTGAGTATAAAGCGGATGATGAATAGAATGGCCGGCGTACCAGCCCAGGCCACTACCACCATAGAAACCCACGCGCCGTAGTATCGCGGTGCAGCCGAAGGCACCCAGATCTGAGGTGACACGAGATTTCCAACACTATAACCTAGCATGAACATGACATTGCGCATCATCTTCTTGGTGTAACCCGCCGCGCTCGACGTCGTCCAACCGAGGCCGATTATGTAATTAATACCGTATGTATGACCTGCCAAGAGCAGACAAGCCAGCAAGGCGAGTTTCTTATCCCAGTCAATTGTAACCATTCCAATACCACCGGCTATTGCAGGAATACACCAGAAAAGACCATGGAAAGCTAAGTTGCCAGGGAATTTGCGGAGGGCTATAGCGGCAATGATGCAAAGGACAACACCAAAGCCACCGCCCGCACAAGCGACGAGGGTCGAGCCAAGGGTGGATACGCCCAGTGAAGTGGTCAGAAGGTTTTGCTGTCCATATGTGAGGTTGTTCGAATACATCAGCGTGAAGGCTTGGAGCGCAAATAGCCAGGACACAGGATCTCGCAAGGTCTCGTAGAACTGCTCCTTTTTAAAGTGTTTCTCCTCAATCGAGCTCTGGCTCGATCCGTGGACGCGTCGGATAACTTGAACCTTTTCCTCGAGGGTCAAGAAGCGCGCTTCGGCAGGATTGTTCGGATAGCAGAACCAAGCCCAGATGGAGAGCAGGAGCGTCAAGCCGCCGGTGATGATCATGAAGATCTTCCAGGGGAGTACGGAGCTCTTGCTCCACAACACACCGTACGAGATGAAACCAGCAACGATAGGAGCACCCTGGCATGTGATCCAAAATATGGGTTGTAGGAATGACTGCTCTTCACGGTTGAAAAACATGCCTATGGTAATTTCCATGGCAGGAACAATAACGGCTTCCACAGCACCTAAGAGGAGACGAACAACAATGAGACCGCCGTATGTTACCGCCACGCAATGCAGCAGCAGGACGACAGCCCACCCAAAACCGAGAACGGCAACCGTCTTGCCGAAAGGTAGACGTTGCATAATGTAGTGGCCCGGCCATTGGGCGGCGAGGTAGCCTGCAGATTGTTAAGCATTGCTAAAGCTAGACATAGACCAGCAGATTGAGATTGTGCGTACCGACATAAAAGAATGTGTTCAAATTGTTGTATTGATGTTTCGAAATGCCAGTCTCCGTGAAAAGCCCCAGAATTGCAGCGTAGCCTAACGTAGATTTGTCGACCTGAATATCGTGAGCAATGAATTCTTTTTCGAGGAATAGTATCACCCACAAACAGCATGAAGTTGATAGCCGACACTAAAACCATTACGTGAAGATAAAGTTTTCTGCGCAGCTTTTTCTCCTTTTCAGGAGTGAGCGGCCCAAAGTCATCGCCATGGTCCTCGATGAGTCGCAAAGTGACATCTGCGTACTTCTCGGCCACGGTCTTGCCAACGGTCCGCGGCTGACTGTCAGACTGTGGCTCTTTCTCGCTGGCCATCTTTGTCTCTTCGATATCCAAATAAACAGTATTCGGTCCAAGCCTGCCTAGAAGCCACTCAAAGTCTTAGCGGAAGGCTGTTTATTTTATTGGTAGAGAGGCTCTTGAATGGCATAATATGGTTTCGCAATTGTGCCATACTTTGTTTTTCACTAGTGGTCCTGATTAGCCAGGTCTTGCGCCGCTTGTCGTCTGATGGATTCGCAGGGTGTGGAGAAGCATGCATCACGCAATCACAACAAACACAGACCAATAGCTCCGAAGCCTCGTAAGTAACGCACAAACAGCAAACCCAGGCCTGCCAGTGGCAAGCTCCACTAAAAGATTAACATATCAACGATTATTCCTTTTAGTGGCACACCTGGCAGTACTACCATCGACACGATACGAGAAGGGTGTGACCTCCTCAGATGAGTGATGATGAAGTACTCGGAAAATTTCGTCTCGAAAATGTTATAATTATGGCGGCGCTATCGTCTCTAGAACGGACCATTGTGCTACCATCGAGTAGAGACAGTAGGGTGGAAATTTTCGGCGTAGCTATACATGAAGAACTGCTTCATTCTAGTTCCCTTCCTGTATTTCGTGCACCTGGAGGCAAGTCCACCTGTGGGATTTGCTGGAGCGTCGCGACCAAGAAGACTGACTGTCAATCAATTCGAATACAACAGCCACAGGAACTAGTCATGTTGATGCATCATAAACTCTAATTTGTAAGATTTCTGATTTGATAAAGCCAAATATCTGCCATATTCGTACATAGGAGAATTCGTTTACTTTCCAAGACCTATGTTTAATAACCGTTGCCCAAAACTCAAATAGGATAAGTGACTTCGCTTATGTTAAGAGAAACTGAAATGGCTTTTATAAGAAAAATCTTTATAGCGACCGCAAAGAAGAAAGTTAGTCTTCACGTTAGTGTCAACCATGCTCTTGTTACAATCGTGCCGTCTATATGACCTGATGAGTGTCAGTCTAATTTAATAGTCTCTATGTTAAGAATGGATGTTGTGAGCAATTGTTAGAACATCTACAAATGTGCTCGGCGGACGTAGCGGTATGTCCTATCACACACTACTTGAGTCGATGAGCTCTATGGCCTTGCCATCTCACCTGGGCAACTTGGTCGGAGGATTGCTATTCTTTCAACCTTCTGCAACCCCACTCGAGCCCGACACACAGGGATCAGACTACATTGCATGCTTACCCCGCTCTCAACTCTGTGTGGTTTTTTGTTCCTAACAATCATCTTCAGGCTCAGAGAATGATTGATTGGAAATGTGAGTAAGCAAGTCACCTCTCGCAGTCAGGGCTAATGTTTCGACGTTTAGAGCCGCCCTGACTTGATGACGCTACTCCCTGCAATGTTTTCTGGGTGGTGTGGCCAAGACACTGAAGGCTCCATCGGGCCCGTCGTCCAAAATTGCCGAGAGGGGTTTGACTTTACAGTCTTCTTTGAACAGCTTTTTCTATCAATCGCACCATCCGCTGCCTTCCTAGTCCTGGTGCCTTGCCGCATTTGGATATTATACAGATCGTCTCCAAAAGCCCGTGGTGGTTGGCTCTTGTCTTTGAAGATTGTCAGTGCCTTGTTTCACAATATGCTAGAATCATACTCACGCCACCATGATGACAGTCAGTTGCAGTTGTTTACGCTCTTCTTCAAGTCTATCTTCTGGTCCGCTGGACCTCGTCACCTCCCTTCCACGTCCGAAGTAATGTTCCTACCGCGACACTATCCATGACAAGCGGCTTGGCAGTGCTCGTTTTATCACCGTTAGAGCACTTACGCTCCCTCAGACCTTCCACCCTGTTACAGATATATCTTATTCTCACTTCTCTATTAGATGTAGTAATATGCAGGACACTATGGCTCATTGGTTTAGATACCATCATCGAACGTGTTTTCACTGCAGGTGTTTCGCTAAAGTTTGCACTACTCGCTCTTGAGGTTGTTGAAAAGCGGCGGTACCTAGAACCAAGATATAGCAGTTTGAGGTCGGAAACAATATCTGGATTTGTCAATCTAAGTGTCTTCTGGTGGCTTAATGAACTTTTCGTCACGGGGTTCAGGAAGGTCCTATCCTTGGCCGATATTGAGGGACTGGAAGAGGCTCAGCATGCGGAAACACTGGAGCGTAACATTCGAGAAAATTGGGCCAAATCATCCAGTCACAAACCGAACGCTCTGCTTTGGACGCTGGCCTGGACCTTACGATGGTCCTTGGCCGCCAGTATCATTCCTCGACTGTGCGCAATTGGATTCAAGCTCTCGCAACCATTCTTGATTGGGAGTCTGATTAACTACCTAGACTCTCCGGTCAAGAACGTGAATGTAGGCAATGGCTTTATCGGAGCTTTTGCTCTAGTTTACTCTGGTGTCGCAATCTCGACAGCCTTTTACTGGTACAAGGCTTACCGCATTATCACTATGGTAAGAGGTAGTCTTATAGCTATAGTGTACTCCCACACCTTGGACCTACCTGCAAACAGTCAAGCTCTTGACACCCCGACAGCATTGATGAGCACTGATGTTGAGAGAATTTGCACCTGTCTTGTCAACTTACATGAGCTATGGGCGAATCTCATCGAAGTCTTGATCGCTGTGTTTATCCTTGAAAGGCAAGTTGGGGTGGCTTGCGTTTCTCCGGCATTACTTGCTCTCGGTAAGTCCGGAAGCATCCTACTCTTTCTCTTAGCTAACGTCAAAGCCTGCGGTGTTGGCACTCTACTCCTGACCTCATCAGTTGGCAAGAGACAAGAGGCATGGCTCAAAGCCGTTCAAAGAAGGCTCAAGGTGACAGAATCAACTCTTAGCTCTATCAAAGGCATCAAGATGATGGCATTCACTGAGCCACTTGCAAAGGTCATTCATGGTCTGCGGGTCGAAGAGCTCTTGCTTGCAATTGACTATAGAAAGCTTCAGGTGGCTAGTATTATCATATGTAGGTTGCCAAATCCTTCCGGCGCACAGACTTCCTGACTGACAGCAAAACAAGCTCTTATCATGAATATCACTGGGCCGGCTGTCACCCTCACAACCTTTACCATCATTTCCGCAATAAGAGGAACTGGTACCCTTCTAGCAGCCCCAGCCTTTACATCTATAGCGGTTCTGTCACTAATTGGAACTCCTCTCATAACTCTATTTCAAGCCCTTCCACTAATCAAGTCTGCTATTGGATCGATGGCCCGTATTCAGAACTTCCTTATCGGAACGCGCCATCAAGATCCTCGAAAGGGTAATGGCCAGCAACCACAGATGGCTATCGAATTCAGGCCAAATGACGCTGAAGTCGAGATGGAGGTATTTGAGACGACACCATCCTCAAGCAAGAGTAAGGACATGGTCACAATCTCGGCAGCAAGCATATGTTGGGTTGGCACGGATAACGTTGTTCTCCGCGATATAGATATTTCTATTCGACCTGGTTCTTTTACCATCGTGACTGGTCCTATTGGCTGTGGGAAGTCGACTCTCATCAAAGCAGTATTAGGAGAAACGGGAATTAGTAAAGGTGTTCTGGAGGTCTTGTGCAGGGAGATAGCGTTCTGCGACCAGTCTCCCTGGTTAACCTTCGGTACTATCCGGGAGAACGTCACAGCAATGATCGATTTCCCGTTTGATGAAGCATGGTATAGAACGATTCTTCACGCTTGTGCTTTGGAACAGGACTTGGAGCAGCTTCCACATGGTGATCAAACCGACATTGGAAGCAGGGGATTGGCGATAAGTGGCGGCCAACGACAGCGAGTGGTAAGTTAGGCACTCTCCAAAAGTTGAGGAAATCTTTCTCAATTGTTATAGGCACTTGCGCGGGCTTTATATTCGAGGAAGAAACTGGTAGTCTTCGACGACATATTCGCTGGTCTAGACAGGAACTCGGAGGAGCAGGTCTTTGCGCGTGTTTTTGGACCGGACGGACTTCTTCGAAAGCATTGTGTCACTGCCATTTTGGTCACACATCGAGGTGAGTGAACCTTTCGCTGCAAATGTATGGGACACCCAAAATCTAAAATGCTCTGTAGTGGACCAGTTGCCGTTTAGTTCCCAAGTCATCGTGATAAACAAGTTGGGGCGAATAGAGCAACAAGGCGATTTCAAAACTCTCAACAGCGTTGATGGATATGTTCGGAACCTCGTAATCAAAGCAGAAGCAGAAGTAGAAGCACAAACCCCTGAGCCTGATGAAGTTGTTGAAGAAAGACCATCTGCCATTCGACGAGTAAAGACCAAGTCGAATAACGACAGGACCGAGGACTTTGCAAGGCAGACTGGGGATCTGTCGATCTACATGTATTATCTGAAATTTGCTGGTTTTGGGACCGTATACCTTGCTCTCGGTGTGCTAGCGGTTTACTCATTTTGCTTAGTATTCCCTAGTAAGCAACTCATACCCATAAATAACAGCTGATATGCACTGACCGCAATGAAACAGCTATTTGGCTTGATTGGTGGTCAACCGCGAACGAACAGCGTCCTGGGGAGGACCTCGGGATGTATCTTGGGGTCTACATTGTCTTTGGGGTTGTAGGCTTGGCAGCTCTGAGCCTGTTTTGCTGGTAAGATTCGGTAACGTTTCCAGAAGTACTAAGTGTGTACTGAAGTGTGCAACACCTAGGCAGATGATCATTGTCCTAGGCCCGCGGGCTGGACAAAAATTACATTCGACTGTTCTTCAGCATGCATTATGGTGTGCTGCACTTCAATTTGAGCTATGCATTTACTGATAGAATTCTAGGGCACCACTGTCGTATCTATCCAAAACCGACATCGGCACCATTATGAACCATTTCAGCCAAGATATGCAACTTCTTGATTTCCAGGTCACTCTCACAAGCATGAGCGCAGCTGAAGGTATTGACAAATGAATCAGAACAGCAACCCTTCTGCTGACATGCCCTGCTATTTAGCATTCAGCACAACAATCTTTAGGTTGGTGGTAGTGTGTGTTACTGCCAAATATGTAGCGGCCATAATTCCGCTCACTTTGGGGGTTGTCTACATCATTCAGAAAGGCTATCTTCGTACTTCGCGTCAACTCCGCTATCTCGACCTCGAAGCCAAAGCACCCATCTACACCACGTTTATGGAGACTCTTGATGGCCTTGCCACCATACGAGCATTCGGATTCGTCGATCATCTTAGACATCGCGGCCACCAACTCATTGATGGAGCGCAAAAACCGTTTTACCTGCTCAATTGCATTCAAAGATGGCTAGGGCTAGTGCTCGATATGTTACTTACAGTAGTATCAGTTCTGGTGGTTGTCTTTGCAGTCAAATTCAGCAACGAAGCGACGGGCGGCACCACGGGTGTGGCGCTTGTTAATGTATTGACATGCCACCAACATCTGGCCGGATTTGTTTTGAGGTGGACTCTTCTAGAGACCTCCATCAGTGCTGTATCACGCATCAGAGCCTTTTCTCTTCAATGCCCCGTGGAGACTCGACAGGATACCGTACAGCCACTACCTGAGTGGCCTTCGGGAGGATCTATCGCATTCGAGAACGTCAGTGCATCTTACAGGTCAGTGGTCTTTCATTTTCCTTCTATCCATGTGTTGATAGCATCCACTCAGTGAGAACTCCCCTATTTTGCGCAACGTGTCATTTTCATTACCACTCGGATCGCGTCTAGGCATTTGTGGTCGCACGGGCAGGTATGTAATCAGGTTCTTGGAGTTGGGCTATTCCCATTAATTTTCCCCAGTGGCAAGAGCTCGCTCATCTCGTGTCTGCTTCAAACGCTCGAAATCTCTCAGGGTAGAATAACTCTTGATGGGTTAGATCTGTCGCATTGCTCTAAGGAAACCGTCCGGTCTGCCTTCACAACTGTTCCTCAAGATGCCATCCTTTTTGAAGGCTCAGTCCGTTTCAATCTCGACCCTCGAGGCTTGCTAGACGATGCAGAGATTGCGCAAGCCCTGCTCAAGGTCCATCTCACGGGCATCTTGAACGACTTGGATTCTTCGATAGATACAGTGCATCTACCGCACGGCCAACGGCAGCTCTTTTCCCTTGCCAGGGCGTTGTTGAGCAAGAGCAAGATACTAATACTAGATGAAGCCACCAGTAGGCATGTTCTCAGCCTTCTTGATGTGTATTTTTACGATGACTAACTCATAACAGCGTCGATCCGGAGACAAACCGTCTCATGCAATCGATAATTCGGGGCGAATTCGCAGGTCGCACTGTATTATGTGTCGAACACGACCTGAAGAACATTCTGGATTATGACAGGGTCGCCGTTTTCGACGGAGGCTGCCTAACAGAGTTTGGTAGCCCAGAGGCCTTGTTACGAGGAGACTCAAAGTTTAAACAACTGCTCAAAATCTAATGCGATGCAATATTTTATCCTAAGAAGATGCATTTGGTTGTCTTCTGGGACTGCAAGAGCTCCAAACCCGCAGATTCGGGCCGGTCTGACAATATGAGATTAGGAGTTTCATCGTAGACTGTGGATGAAGCAGATTTAGCTCTAGTGATCACAGCTATTTCAATGATGACTATCTCCATTCGCCGAATATCATTATTGATTAAACATTAGGTTGAGAGTGAAATCTACGACCTCTCTATCGATGAGCTTAAGGAGCTGCGGTTATGGGCAAGCCGGCTGGAGACCAGTTGTACCAGCCCAGCTCTACCTCGTCTGTGATGTTCCATGTTTGGATGAACTTTGCCTTCTTATCCTCCATTCCTTCAGTGCACAGAATTTCGTAGACCGTTCGCCACGCACTGTTAACGGCTCCAATGATCCACGCGTGACCAGAGCTGAGAGCCTCGCCGGCAAAGTGCACTAGTACAATTGAGTAAGCAACATCCTTAGAATCGTGACAGTCTTTGTCTTGGACAATCAAGCATGAGTGATAATAGAATGAATGATAATACTTACTGTGTCCATTCACTGCCGGCATAAGTAACCAAGGCATTAGACTGCTGAATTCGCCTGGCCCAAAGATAGCAAAGGCGCCATTTGAGTAAGCCGAGTCGTCTGCGGGTTTGAAGTCAGCCCTTGCTGTCACAGCGCAGTAAAGGAATGATGGAAGCCATTTGGACTCTATCAAGAGCAAACATTGGCTCTGACATGGATATTGGACTTCTAAGGAAGGGGGGATAAAGATCAACAGGTTGCTTACACCAAGAGTACGCATGATAATCCACAAACTGGGATTTGACAAATTCATAAGATACTCCGTTAAGAACTGCTAGATCTCTCAACGTCAGGTCGACCAGGGTGTCGATGCTGTCCGGTTGGGCGGGCGCCTGGGTCGTGGGGTTGTGTGGGTTGAGGTATGAGCCTAGGCGCGAAGCATCCTGACCCCAAACATAACTAGCTATCATCGATCCAGGAGCTCCAGGTACATCAAGCCCATAGGAAGGATACACGCAACGCCGAATTGGCAAGTCGGTGAATGATTGGCCGCCTTGGAAAGCACCAGTCGTGAGGTTCTCCCACCTAACATGCAGATATTAGCATGAGTGAATAAATTATATGTCGTCATGTAACGCGTCTTACCATCGTGTTTGGAACTTGAAGCCTATCTTGGTTGAAGGATCATATCTATCGACAAGAAGATTAGCTCGTGAATTTAGGCGTCGGCTTCAAGCCCTGCGAATATACGTACTGTAGACTGCGAATCGCAGTGTTTTGGAAATAGCTCAATTCCAATTCAGTCGTATTGATTGCTTGCAATGCGCCAAGCGGTGCAGTCGAAATGACATGCGCATAGTTGTACTCCTGAGTGCCGTTGACCACAACTGTTAAGTTATAATCAGAAGTCTTCTTGATATCTGTCACACGATTGTGCATAACGGGCTTGTTTTTTATAATCAGGTTCATTCCATATGTCAGTCGATCCACTGTAGCCACCAGAGTCAGTAACAGGTCGTAAGAGGTTGGGCAGAGTCGAAATGTAATGAAAAAGGATGGAACTTCGAAAATTACTTACTGCCACCATTGATGAGCGACCAGTTGCTTATGTTCGCACTCGTAAAAATCCATTCTTCCAGGATAGCTTGAGACATGGAGTACATATCATAGTGCCCGGTGGCGTCGTTGACAGTTTCCATCCAGTCAATCTCGCTATTAGCGAACCCGTTTTTGATAAGAAATTGCCGCACAGACATCGAGTCTAATTCCATGAGGGTATTGAATCCTTTGGTGAAATTCTTTGACAGCTCTGTAGACATAGACTTGACCTGATTGGACCAGAGATCAGAGGCAGACTGCGTGTCGAAGGTAGTGTTGAAAATAGGTACATTGTACCGGTTGGGTGACTCTGCGCCAGTATCGTTCATCATCGCACGAATGTTATTATACATTCGGAATGTGTTGTTTGTTTCAAAAATGTAGTTCTTCTGGACGACTTTATCACTCTCATTTACTCGGGCATTGATATAAGGTATAAGACTCCATGACTCGTTGCCAATGACGCGATCCATATACGGCATTGGAGGAAAGCGCATAGCTCCAACATCCTGTACTTGAATCAGTAAACCAGTCCACGGAATCGTGAATGGGGTTTGCCAACATACATAGTAGTCGTAATACTCCGGGTCGTCGGGTGTTGAGTTGTCCCACGCCTCCTGATCAAATCGATAAGTAAAGATCCTTCCTCCAATACGGTCCGAGGCTTCGTGTATATCGTAGTCGATGTCGAGAGAATCCAGCAGCATAGCGGCGTACAGTCCTGCAGCCCCTGCGCCTATGATTCCAACCTTCATCGGCACATCTGCGGGGGTTGGGACTTTGGTGAAGTTGCAGTAGTCCGAATTGTGCAGAACATTTCGGAAGAAAGCCGCGCGAGGGTTTGCAGCAGAAAGCTTCCCAGCGTTCAGTTCTTGAACTGCCGCTTGCGGGGCATTAGAGCCAGGTAAAGCGAGTGATGGTGCCAACAAAAGGGCGGTAATGAGCGTGTGGGAATTGAAGAACGACATGATCCCGGCAAAGAAAGAAACCTACCTAATGTGATCGAATACTTCACTGCACTTCAATCGCATGATGGTCGCCTTTTCTTGGTTTTATATAAGTGACACCGTACAGCCTTAATTTGTTTACAGCCTAGAGGGCAACGCTTGCCTCGACACTCTTTCCGAGCTGAGACACAACAGCGGGATTATCCCCCAGGTTGTAAGACACGGAGTATGTGGAAGGTCTGGCCACCAGCCCTAGAACACCGGGAATGTCCAGCCGTCGACTAATGAAGTTAGCCTTCTCCAGATTTACGGGAAGCCCGCGGAGGACCCTTTTTGCACTTCATCCACACGATCCCATTTCTTTGCATGCCTCATGCTGATGCGGCTTCCGTTTACATGCCATCAGCCAGCCACAAACAATGTGTGCCATGAAGACGAACCCAGCAACAGTCAGCCACTCATCACTTAATCGACAGAGAGTCCTGCCGGATATGTAAAAAGATGACTTTCGGTTAGGTAAGAATTTTCTACCTATCACGAGGTGATTGAGTTGCACTCGGATGACTAAAGGTAAAGAGCTTTGCAAAAGAGCGACCAGGTGGATTGGTGAATAAGTCCACAATATACCAAGAGACCATGCAGTAGTAGCTTGATTCTATTGTTCCAACCATCAATTTCTATTACTCTAGCAAGCTCTAACGAAGAAGCTTTTCTCGCCTTCCTTGGGCACAACAGCACACTCCTTGAGTAATTCATCTCCCAGAGCACACCTTAACGTTTCCGCCGTGGCGGGACTATCGAGGCTAAACCGTCCATCGGAGTGGCTCAGCCCGTTTGACTCCCTTGCTGCTTTTACTGCCTCTCGGAGAGCAAAGAACACCGTGCTGCCTAGAAATAGGGGTGGCTCGCCGGTACCTTTGCTGCTCTGTATCGACCGTAGATGCTTCCAGCTTATGGGCTCCCCGTTGATGTCATGGCGCAGCATACTGACATTGAACTCTTGTGGGATATCGGAGAAGCCGGGAATTTTGTAATTACCAGGACCCATTGTTGCGAGGTTTCCTGTCTTGCTAAACCATAAGGCTTCTTCCATAGTGAAGAGTCCTTGACCTTGAACGAAGGCACCTTCAATTTGACCATAATCAATGGCCGGGTTGATGGAATTTCCAACATCCTACAAGCGATTAGCATGCTCATTTGCGATCAAAATTTGGTCTAGCTTACCATCATGATATCGGTTCGCAACACAGTGTGATCACCAGTGAGAAGATCCAGCTCTACCTCACTTACGCCAACACCCTGTGTGAAATAGTAGTACATTGGCTTCGGATCCTTGAAGTTCCCCCACGTGTACCCAATCTTGGGCATCTTCCAGAATCCATTGGCAGCTAGGTTCACCCTGTCTCGGTATGCGGCATGAGCCAGATCTTTCATCGTTGCGTCCGGCCCGAGCTGCTTCCGATATGGCGCCAACCTTTCATTCAGTTGATCGCATGCATTCTTTACAGCCATTCCATTAAGATCACTGCCAGAGGAGGCAGCGGTCGGAGATGCGTTCGCGATTTGATATGATTGTGAGTCCTGTGTGTAGACCTCCTCAATCGGCACATTCAACTCCTGTGCTGCAACCTGGCACATCTTGGTGTATAGACCTTGGCCCATTTCCGTACCTCCATGGTGTAATAAGACACTGCCATCGGCATAGATTTTGACATATGCTCCAGCTTGATTGAGATGCAGAGCAGTGGCAAAGCTCAAACCAAACTTGGTGGGTATCATGCAAATCCCTCGCCTCTTCCACTTATTCTTCGGATTGGAGTTGTAAGTTTTGATTTGAGCCTTACGCTCTTCATAGCGTGCTGTCTTCCGCAGCTGCTCCATCATGATTGGTACATGCCAATCTTCGTCGATTGTTTGTAGAAATGGTGTCTGATTGCCCTGCGTATAAAGATTCTTCAGCCTCAAATCGTCAATATCCATGCCAATACCTTCAGCAATGGCAGACATAATTGATTCTGAAAGGTACATCGACTGCGGCCCTCCGAAGCCTCTGAAAGCTGTATTGCTGTGCGTGTTCGTCTTGCACAGATGACCCCGAACCCATACGTCGGGGATTTCATAGCAGTTATCGATGTGTGTGAGGCAACGGTCCATAACCGCACCACTCATGTCGTATGAGAAACCAGCGTTGTTATAGACATCGGCATCCAAGGCTAAGACTCGCCCATCATTCATGACGCCCACTTTCCATCTAGCTTGAATAGGATGTCGTTGACCTGTAGTCATCATATCCTCGTCACGATTTAACATGACCCGGACAGGCCTCCGCTCCTTCTTCGCTGCAATGGCACACAAGCAAGCGATTGGTACGCTGCGGGACTCTTTACCTCCGAAGCCTCCGCCGAGCCGCTTAACCTTGGCGTTGATTTTGTTGCTGCTCACGCCAGTAACGAGGGACACAAACTCTTGAGTTTCCATACTAAATAATTTAGGTTAGCAAATATATGCTTGGAGACGGGGGAGCACTTACGTGTTTTGAGTTGATGACCACACATCCATCTGGCCATCTTCCCCAGAAGGAATCGCTAGAGCTGCGTTAGTCTCGAGATAAAACTGCTCTTGGCCACCAATTCTCGTTGTTCCTTCAAAGATCTTGTCGCATTTGGTAAATATAGGTGCCATGTCGCTTGCAAGAGCATGTTTTCCTTTTCTAAGTTCTCGGCCGTGAGTGAAGAAACTGCCAGCCTTAATAGCCTCATCAATCGTCACAATTACCGGCAGGTCTTCATATGTGATCTTTACTGCCTTTGCAGCAGCTTGCGCTTGAAGAGCTGTCTCCGCATAGACCATACCGATGACCTGACCATGGGATTCCACCTTGCCGTCGGCGAAGAATGGCTCATCCCGTCTCACAGATCCCCATACGTTAAGTTCAGGCCGCAGATCATTCTTGTCAATATAGCCTACGACTCCGGGCAATTCGAGCGCGGGTTTCCAGTCAATGTCTAATAGCTTCGCGTGGGCTTTTGTCGAAAATACTATACCCCCGAAAAGTTCGCTTTCTTGACGCGGAATATCATCGACGTATTCGGCTTCACCAGTGCACTGTTTCAGAGCGGACAAATGCGGGATATTCTTGCCGACCACCCTCTGCTCGACAAAGTTGGAACTATCTCTAGTGCCGTGAGAAACATCGCGGTGAATCTCAGTAATGCTTGGATCAATTTGCCTGAGACCGAACTCGTGAAGCGACTCGTGCCAGAAACGGATGAAAAAGGAACAGACCAGAGACATTCTGTACTGTGCCATTCCACCGGGGACACCAAATGGTAGGCTCATCTCGGAACGCAGAGATGCAAGTGCTGTATCCATTGTTGACTGATCCTCCCACATCTTGCCCATGAGAGCTTGCTGTGTTTTCAAAGCCGGTATTGTGATGGGTGCCATGCCACCAAACGCCAGAGCAATATCCTCCACTAGGCCCTTTACATCTAAACGGACACGGAAGCCAGCTGTTACAATCGCAATGTCATCATCCTTTCTCTTCGCCTGCTTGTATGCCTTCATCACTTCGCGAGATGCAATCGGAGGCAGAGGGATGCGTATTTGGGCAATGATCCCGTCTTCTATCAGCGCGGTTTTCCTATAACTCAGGAAGAAGTCTTTCATATGAAGCGTCAACAGCGGCTGCCCCTTCCTCGCAACGCTGAGACTGGCTCCAGCCGCAAGTAATACGGGATTCGCGTCTGATATTGGGGATGCGGTTGCAATGTTTCCAGCCAATGAAGCAACATTTCTGATTTGACGACCGGCGAAGTATCGAAGCTGTTTTCGTAGGGCCTCGAATACCAACCCTCGCTTTCCAAGTCGGAGAAATGCCTCCTTGCATATATTCTCGACCTCTGTCAGTGGCGTGTTGGCTCCCAGCACAATTGCAGATGTTGCATCCCAAGCAGCTTCGGTTGTTGGCAACGAGACTTGTTTCAGTTCTTCGATGTCTGAGACATATACCATTACTGGGAACTTTGAGCTCTTAAGTCGTATCTCGACCTGGACTTCGCTTGAGCCGACCACGAGCTTAGCAGGAGCATAAGCGCTCTTCACTTCTAGTAGTTGTTCTACTGTGACTGGCCGGAACCAGAGGACCTGGTCATCTCCGTAACATAGCGGCTCTTTCTCATATTTCCACAATGCTGGAGGGTAAATCAGTTCAGAACCGGGATCGTAGGCTTTGAAGCCTGGTAATACAGTGGGATTGACACTTTTTGGCTTCGGTAGCCCTGCCCCCTTTCCGCTATCGTCGTCGATGGTCGTGGTGCTGCTGATTTTCGAGTCTCCGGATCCCGACTCGAGGGACGAGCCGTCATCTCTACCTGAACTTCCCGACGAGCTACTATTAGACCTTGTGGAGCTCTGGCATGGGACTGCTGAGCCATTCTGAACACCATCTCGGCAACAGCCGCCGGGTCTACCACATGATTGTGGTGACTTTTTCACAGAGGCTTTCACCTGCCGTACTTCGGTTTCTAGGTCGTCCTCGCTTGATTGAGAAGTCTCATCAACCGCACCCTTTAGGTCCTCTGTCACGAATGTTTTGGCAGCTTGCAAGATGGGCTTGTATCCCGTGCATCTACACAGATTCCCGTCGAGATGACCTTCCATCTCGATGTCGCGTTCGCTCAGCATGAAGACCTTCCTCTCTGGATCGTACGAATTTCGGACGAGTGCATACAGACTCATGACGATTCCCGGAGTGCAAAAGCCGCACTGGCTTCCGTGCATCTTTGCTATCCTCTCCTGTAGTGGATGTGGGTCTGCGGCCGTCCCCAGCCCTTCGATGGTGATGACATGCTTGCCATCCACGCCGACAAGCGGGAACAGGCAAGCATTGACGGCGAGATGAGATACTTTCTTCTTGCCGCCAGATAGAGACCCGATTTGAAGGACGACAGTACAAGCTCCGCAGCCGCCTTCGCCACAGCCCAGCTTGGTGCCTTTGAGGTTGGGCTGTGCGCGGATGTAATCGAGGAGAGTCCAGCGCGGATTGGGGTTGCTGAGCACCGTTTTCCGGCCATTGAGGTAGAATGTGATGAGTGGAGAGCGGAAAGTATCCTCAATTAGCGGTGCGAGAGCGTATGCGTCGTGTTGAGCAGCCGTTGCTGACGGCGCTGATGGTGGCGGTGGGAGACCCATTTCAAGGGTGGTGATGGAGAAGGTTGAAACCTATACCAATATATGTGGTCTTAGAAGCACAATACTGCCAACTTCATCACATGAATCGGGAATATGAACAAATCTGAGGACAATCTTCTAGAAATTGGATACTGCCCATTCAAACAGGCGACGTTGTGAGGTTGACAAAGAGTTCGCCTCCTCTCAGAAACGGTATAGATATTGTAACACACTTCGGGCTATTGGATATTGCATGCAATGCAGTGCTATCAGCGGCCTGCCCGCCTTTAGCGTGCCCCCTGATAGGAGCGGAGACGTAGATGCAGGCGGCTCCCACTCTTCATCATGACGTCCAGGTACATATATTGTCCCCAACAAACAGCAATTCCAGGACCGTAGATGCACGGGACACGGCTGGGTCAGCAAGTGGCGTTAATGCGCTGTATGCCCCGCATCTAGTTCCCCTGTGAGCGCTAGGTCAGTTCCGATGGTGATAAGCTTCGTGTTTCCACAGGTGGAAAGCTCCCACTCTTGCCGCCGTATTTCCCCCACCTTGACTTACATTTACAAGGGTGGGGTGGCATGGTGCAACAAATCGAAAGACTACAAGGCGGGAGTGGAATACGAGGTAGCAGACCTCCATACACTGAATTAGGAGCGTGTTGCTGCTAGACACACCTGAGGAAGCAAGACTTAGTTTAAGATCTTTTGACGGGTTGTGCAATGAGCGATGATAATCAAGTAGATTGATTTCCGAGGACGGTACCACTGCAACCAATCCAGAGAAAGGACGAACAAATGATGTAATAAATTCTAGGTATCAATTTACATATCAGTATGACCTTGCGAATACAGTATTTCCGACAATATCTGGGAACACGGGCCAGAGAAGATGGACGGTATCCAGAAGAATCTTTGCAAAATGACGGAGGCATCGTGCCAGGATGTGAGTGCCATAGCAGTGGTGATTCGGCCGAGCCTTGACATAAAGAATGATTTGGTCTCGACATCGGGGGCAGCCATTGCACCCATTGTTGTCTGCCAGAATACCGATTCTAATGAGGAGCACAGCGCTAAAGAGGAAGGTAATTGCTGCTCGGGTTTCTGGAAAACCTCCATCAACTGAACAGCTGTATATCCGGGATTCTCATCCGCACTTTCAGTGCAGCGTAGCACAGTTTCCAGGAATATTTTGATTGAGAGTGCTATAGCGGTAAGAAATGCCTCCCTGGGGTATGCGGTACTGCTCAAGTGGATGGCAGAATCCAAAGACTCAATAAGACGTCTAAGGTGTAATTCCTCACCAATGAGGAGCTGCTTCTTTGGTGCATATGTGTCATGCAACACAGCTGTATGTTCCGCACTCGCGAGGATGAGCTGGGTCGCTTTCTTTCCGGGGGAGGAGAACATCGTGTCGAAGATGCCGGTTTTCTCAATCGTTGCCAATAACGTCACGTCATGTCGAACGAAAAGAAGGAGACCTTGTAAGAGTGTCCTTGTGCAAGAGTCAGCTTTCCGAACTTGCCTGGCCGAAGGAGTTACATACCGTGGGATTATATTTGACATCCAAGATGTGGGCGGATTTTGTGAACTTCGAGAACGAACCGCAATGATCTGGAGAAGGCCGGAGATGTGGATTTTCCAAGCTTCACTGTCGCGTGAAACTAGCTATTCGAGGCCATGTTATCAGCAAGAATGTAGATTGATACTGGAGTGCAGCACTGCTTAGCAAGACGAACATCGAGAGTTGTAAGTATAAGTATGGCCCCGACGAAGCTATCACTGAGACTATTGGACCCGTAACTCAGACGTTCCCTCACGGATCGAATTGCCCTGCCTTTATGGGTATCCACAACGGACTGAACTGCAAGGTGTTGTCTTCGCGTTGCATATACAAGCCTAGCAAAGTATAGGGAGACTTCAAGCATGGTAGGGTCGGGAAGGAAGCGAGCCCAGTCGGATTCTATCACTGCCAAGCCAGTGTCCGATGCTGGAATGCCGGTGATTAGATGTAGCTTTCCCATCGCTTGGGCCACTATGCAAGGGTCACAAGTTAGCTGCGAAAACCAATTTAAAGACCCAGCCCTACGTCTCACGCACGATGATTGATAAAGAATGCATCTTTTCCGTTCAATATGCGGTCCCAACCTGGGTAGCTGAAGATGGGAAGCTGAATATTGATTACTTGGTCACGAGTCGTGATCTGACCATCTCCCTTGACCTGTACAGGCTCGACACGAGGGGCACACTCTTTTCGCTCAGCATATTCCCGGACTAGGCGCCGTCGTCGTCGTGCAAAATTGGCCCTTGTGGTATGAGCTCGCATCGCTTTTGCGCTGGCATTGTCAAGTGTGGGCCCTGTTATTGACACGAACGTCAAATCTGGAATAGAGTCCGCCTTGTTGGCAGACATATTGGTGATCTGATTCGAGATGCATCGGACTTGAAGCACTGATTCACACACATATTCACCATTCCCGAATTCGAGGCCCGAGTACGCTCTCACTGGGCTCAGATGCGTCGTGTATTACTAATAAGGCAGACCATCGAGAGGCGTAATGCCAAGCATTCTTGTTTTCCCGAAGCGGCTTAGACTGAATAGTTTATTAAGCAGAGCAGATCTGAAAGGCAACGAACAGTGGATCCCTTGTTTAGACATGAAGTTAGCGCCAAGCTTTCTCGGGAAAAGTTCCAATAAGAATGTAAGTGGTAAGCCTGCATCATAGTAGATGCGCAGACCGGGGCATTATACTAGATAAAGGGTGACTAAAACTCGGGAGACGTGGAACCATGTATGCCGGCAGTAACGCAAAGAGGGAATTGAAACAGCTCGGCTATGCTATATCATACAGTTGCTTTCTAAGCTGAGGACGACTAGCGATGTACGCGGTTCATTGAGGTACTCTGGGCGAGCGTCACTGAAGGTGAAATGTATAAATAAGCCCTTAGTACGAGAACAGCTTGGAGCTCGAACGAAGTCTAAATCAAAGATAAACTGCAACTCGCCATTTTTATTTTGCTTGACCGACCACAAGCTCTATCAAATCAAGTAGTCTTCTTCTCAGCTATTGTAATTGTGCCTGAAGATCAGTCAGTATGTCTTCATACGTTATCAACGGAGCCTCGCGTGGCATTGGCGTAGGACTGTCCCACATCACACCACAGCATGCAGACATCTCTAACTGACACATTGAAACAGTTCGAATTTCTACGGCAACTCTCAGTCAATCCAGCAAACACAGTCATCGGCCTAGTTCGCGACGTCAAAAGCACCAAAGCTAAGGTAGAAGCAGAGATAAACAGAAGCAATGTCCACATCATACATGGAGATTTAGACAGCTACGATGTGCTAAAGGTAGGTCATAGACGCACTTCTCTAGGTAACATCGCTAAACGACGTCTGCAGGAAGCAAGCGAAGCCACGGCGAAAATCACTGGCGGAGGCCTCGACTATCTCATTGCTAGCGGAGCTCGTCTTCCCAAAGAATCTTCGTTCCTGACCTTTGGAGAGATGTAAGTGTTCTTTCCCTGGCTTGAGCGCATTGCCATGATTTTACTCAATGCTTACTGGAACAAGGGGCAAAAATCCTGATTCTCTGGAAAAGGAAATTCTCGCAGGTTGCAAAAGCAACGTTGTTGGAACTGTTCATCTATTCAACCTCTTCGTGCCATTAATCCTCAAGGGTCGGCAGAAGAAGGTTGTTTTTATCTCTTCAGGGCATTGCGACCTTGATCTGATAAGAAAATTCGACATTGCAGTAACTGGACCTTACGCAGTCGACAAAGCCGCCGTTAATACAGTCGTGGCGAAGTTCAGTGCTGAGTATGCCAAGGATGGGGTCCTTTTCATGAGCATCAGCCCAGGAGTGGTCGATACTGGAAACTTCGACCCTACCAAACGTAAGTGACTCTTTACCTGTTTCTATCTTTGAATCCGACCAGTAAGAGTGAAACGAGGCTAATCTATTGCGGACGGCTAGTGACAGAGAAAGAGTTACAGGCTCTTGCTGATGTGACAAGCAGGTTCCAAAAATATGCACCTCATTTTCAAGGTCCGATGACCCCAGAGCAATCTGTAAAACAAGTCATCTCAGTCTACGAGAAAGCGAGCGTCGCAAATGGAGATGGAGGCTCCTTCGTTTCTCACCTTGGAACTAAACAATGGCTTTGATTTATCGGCAATGAAGAAGTACCTACCGCTCTAGATAGTCGAAATGTCAGATCAGGTGCCCTCAGTTCAAAGGTCTCAGTTCTCAGCTAGTGCCACGTAGAAGGGGAAAAGAGAACTGGTCCACTATATGTCTACTTATAGCGACAGGATCTGGCGCCGGTCTTTTGCTCGTACACATCTCAGTTGTTTACTTTATGCATTGGTAAGAAAGTTTTACGTTCTTAGGTGAGAAGCTGGGAAGAGTTGTTGTGATGTCATGACACTGTAAAGCCTCAAAACTGCTCTACATACATCGGACTAATGCCATAAACTATGATATATTACGTCTCTTCACTCTGAGAGTCTCCCACATTGGAGGTGCCATACTTCCCACAAACCATTTATTGACAGGACGTGAAGAAAGGTGCTCGATTTCATAATGTAACGCGATGTGAGCCAATGTCAGCTTAAGCTGGTTTGCTGCGAAGAATCGACCAGGACTTGAAGCGAGATTAGTATTCACCGCTTCGTATATATCTAATAGTTGATAATCGACTTACCAGGCATTCGGCCCATGGCTAAAGGCTAGGAAAGTTGGGCTTGTGCTGACCAGTGCTTGTGGCTGTCGCGTGTTTGTGGCCCCATCGGCGGAAGTTGTTTCTTCTGTGCAAAATCGGAAGGGGTCATAACGTTCTGCGTCAGTGTAAACATCCTCGTCTCTGTGAACACTGTATGCCTGTATGCCGACCTTTGTACCTCTCGGCACATGAGAGCCATCTGGCAGCGTCACACCTCCTGGAGCAACGACTATCTTCATGATGCCGCGCGCTACAAAGCCATTGAGACGCATGCTCTCGCGGAGTGCGGAGTCGACCCGGGTCATGCGAGCCAACGATGCCTTGGACCATAGCACAGACGGTGAAGAACAGGGACCACCAGCAATGTCAATTTGGGCTGTGACTTCGTCGCGCATGGTGTCGAGATAGTCTTGACACTGTGCTAAAGAAGCAATATCGAAGAGCGTATTCGTGATGCTGATGACAGAAGATTGGATGGCAGCGAAGCATAGACATGCGAGACGGCGAGCAATGACGGTAGGTGTCATCTCCAAAGGATCCCAGTGGGCGGAGGCATGATCGATGGCCCATTGAATGTAGTCATTCTGTAGAGTGTTAGGTTGTAGCTACGTTCAATTTGGAACGGGCTCATACTTGGCGCTTTCCCTCGAAGAGAGGCAGCTTCTCGCTTGGGCTTGCATGCTCTTCAAGTAGTCGTTGCTGAATTAATGGCATGACGAACTTGGCAATCGTAAGGTATTTCAAATGGTCATAAATAGAGAAAACGGGAGCCACGACACTAGGTGATCGGCATGGTTAGTCTTGTGAAACCACAAAGTGGCATGCATGCATCGTCGATCATATTGGCACGCGAACGCCACGTGGGAACTTGGGGTCTCAACTCACGGTTTCAGGAACCCTGGCAGCAGGTTGATCGCCGCTGCAGAAACCACGACATTTTTGTCGAATGTTCGTGCGGCTTGCAGGAATTCCTGATTGCGGCATAATTCTTCACCTACAAATACTCTAGTCGAAAGTCGAGAGATGACATCTAGCATGGTGTCATACACCTTGACTTCTTTCCAGTTTTCGGTGTCTGTACCCCAATTCTCCTTGAGACACCGATCGAGTTCCTCGACAATGTCCGTGGTGAAGCTAGCCAGCTTGTGGGTCAGCTCGCGACGGATTACATCTGGGTGAACTGGCTCCCGAACAATGTTTGGGTGAAGAAATGTGTGATCAGCTTCCAAGAACTGGCGGTTGACCTCGGTTTGGCTCATGACTGTATCTGGCTGTTCTACGAGCCACCGCGCCTGCGACAGTGGCAGTACTACTTCTGGGCCGGTCAAGACATGTGGCAGCACATAAGCTCTGCTATTCTTGGAATACTGTAGTAGTGTCTCAGTGAGTGAATCGTTTTGGGCGGTAGAACTCGTGGAAAAGCACACCTTTTCGTATCCCTCATCCATGAGAACCTTTAAACCAAAGAAACTTCTCAAGTTGGCCCTGACGCGTGCAACTCGCCCTCCCCCGGAAGCTACTCCCGCCCACGGTAGGCTTTCGGGGAGTGATGCATTGGATGCAAGACGTCGGATGAGGTTTGCAGTGATAATCAGTGGAACAACGACGCCACAGGTCAAAGCAGCGCCATATACCAAGAATGGCACGATATCTCTTACTAGAGCCATCGCTTTCCGCGTGGAACTCACTAGTATGAACCGAAAGGTGTGGCTTTGCGAGCAACGTGATGATGTCTCAGAATTGTAACAAGCAATTCGCTCGAGTGGGAGATCATAGAATCCTTGCAATTGTCTTGACGAAAGGCCCAGAGCAAGACGAATGAATCGTAAAGAAAGGGGAGATCATAAGTATCGAGATATGTATGTATCATGAGGCAACGGATGAGTCTTCTCGACATGCTGGGACATGCATTCAATATAAAGACGCTTTGGGCAATGTTCAGCGGCTGGCTGAACTCAAACGAGTAGAAACGTAGTCATGAATTACTACGGGACTTCGAGCATTCGTGATAATGACAGGTCTTCAAAAGTAAAAGATTAAACCAGGGGTGGTTTGGTCACCGCAAAAGGAATCCAAAAAGACAACTTTGTGGTTGATATATCAACAGTGCAAGGATCATTGAGAGGGGCGGTCGAGATATGTGTGTGGGGATGACTGATGATGCTCGTCGCTCATCAGCGGGACGTGCAGCTGTGCATCTGCCCTGTCCCAAATCCTTGCACCCTGCTACCATATCCGAGATATGTAAGCTTAAGCAAAAGCAGACGGGTCAGCGAAGGCATGCATCAGCCAAGGGCAGAAGCTCGAGTGAAAGTGGAGCTGTAGTTGTCAGACATATCACTTTCCATGTCTCAGACTGTACGAGAGCTTTTGCATTCAGTCATTGTCAGGATAATAGTGAGCGAGAGAAACGATAGAGCGGCTAACCGACATGTGCAAAGACCGTTTGCGGATCGAGGCAAAGCTCGAGGGATCTGGGGGAAAGAGGCTTGCCGTTGCAAATGTCTCAGTCTGAGCGCCGAGTGGCGGCCGGTGGAGCAATTACACCGTCCAATGAATCGCCTTAGTGAAGCATACGTCTATTTGTCGATTTGGGCCTTAAGATGGTGTCGAAGACTTGCAATGTGGCGTCTGTCACGGCGGATCAGTAGTTGGGTTGGTTCGTCGAGATGACCACCGTATCCTGCATCCAAGCCAAAGATAAGCAACAAGGTATTGAGAATACTGGGTGTTCAGCAATAATGTCACGTCTCTTCTCGCCCTTCAACAGTGTCCAAGTACCTCCAAACCCGGGCCTGTGCATGTTCCTGACCGAATTCTGACGCGGGATGTTCATTGTTGATGTCCAAGATGAAATGAAGCATCCGCCAGGGCCTGTGAACCCCTGGTCAGGCTGATTTAGTCCGTTAAACTGGAACCAATCGGCTGCTCCAACGCGATTAGGTGCAGATCGAACTTAGCGATCGACGCTATGAATTCCCTGTTCCGAGTTTGCTCTCCGGGGCACCATTTCTCTCTTTCACTCCTCAGATGCGGCTGGCGCAGGGGACAGGTAGTTAGTGTGACCTTGACCATCGTCACCGCAAAATAGGGCGTTCTTGGCCAAGCCATGGTGCATTGTCATTCCTTTTGTCTGGGGCCGGACTGGGAGAATGCCTCGCGTAGTCTTGCAGCTGGGCCTTGATTCAATTGCAAAACTCGTTCGGCTCCGGAACAGAATGCAAGGAGCCACCGAGGCTATCCTATACAGTTCCTCGTGTTGCTTTTCGGGGCAGAAGTAGCCGGCGGCAGCGGATGCGTTCGTCTCTCAAGATCCACCTGTGCATTGCTTCTTCTTCTTTTACTATCTTTACATTGCCACACAACCAAGACAAGGCATGATGGCGCGGCAACTCGGGTCGTAAGCTTAACGCTGGCATGGGCGCATTGTTTTTTGCCGCGCCAGTAGAGAAGCCAAGGCTCGAGTAAGAACATGAACAGTTGCTCAATGCTCTCCCCGATCCTGCAGGGCAAGCCGTGTAGGTGCATTAGCTGAACCACCGCCTCGGTGGCGCTCACCCGTTTGCAACAGCGTTCAGGGGTGACATCTACGATATCTCTAATGATTTGTGATTGATTTGCTTCTTCTCGTGTCTCTTCTTTGCGGCCGACACAAGCCCCAAGCCTATCCCGCTGGGCTTAGTTTGCAATCGAGCCAGGCTTGGATCTCGCTCGCTTGGTAGCTTCAACTGCTATTGTGCCACATCCAGTCATTGGCCGTGTCATTCCTGGAATTGGCAATTCCTTCGTCCATTCAAGCTTCTAAATCAGGTAGCAGCTATTGATTTGTAGTCGCCGACCAGAAACGCCGCTTCGTGATGCATCATACCCAATTGCATACCAGTTTATTGGCACATCGAGGCTCGTCAGCGCCGAGATAGCGATAGATCACCGGTGGCTTGCAGATGTCAAAATTGCAGAGTGTAACCCGACTGACCGGCCTGGCCCCCTGGGCGAGGCTTTGCCAAGACTATCATATGATAGATGACCGACGATCATGATTGCTGCCAGGGTGTTGAACAGTATTAAGTATCTTCCAAGGTGAAGCGAGCCGCCGCCACTACGGAGACTTAGCAACAGGGGTCTGTGGTTCGAGCTGAAAAGCGCATGCCGCTGAATACCCTCCGCCGATCGCCATCAGAGACATTCTGTTCGGCACGACTTGCTCGGCGCAAAACTAGACAACCTGGGCACATAGACCAAGAATGTGGAAAGACGGGCGACTGCGGATACGCGGGACGCGGAACTGGGATGCCGGTATACCCTCCAGACATTGATTGATTCATCCTCCTCTCCAGCTCAGCCAAAGATGCGCAGCGCCATAGCGGCAAGTAATAGGTGAACGAGATCATGGTTCACTTCTGCCCTTTTGCCATGCTGTTCCTCTTCATAAAGAGCGCCATCCCGAATCCGTTACAGAGAGATCGGCAAAAGCCATGCACTACCTGACTCTCGTTACTAGACGATTCGACCTGACCTGACTTGCATTGCATTGCACTGCGTAACAATCGTTGAACGCAAGGGACGTGAGCACTTCGTTTTAGACATACAGCAGCAGTGAACTTGCAGCCATGCATAAGCTGTTCTACCTCCTCAGCCTCTTCCTCTCCCTGGTCGGGATGCTGACGCCTTCGCTGGCGTCGCCCACGCCGGATCCGGCGCCCGGCAGTATCACGGACCTGCCCGTCGTCGGCCCCGTGCTCGACCTGCTCAACGACCCGCCGCCGAAGCTGCTGCGCACCACGAACCCGTCGCGGGAGTGCAAGAAGATCAACCAGGGCGAGCTGATGTGCTGCCGGGGCGCGGTGGCCGGTGATCTGCAGCCGATTGTCTGGCTCGCATCCGTTTATGGCTATTACTTGAATCCTAATGATGTGAACGGCCTAAACTGTAAGTTCTCGTTTCTTCCTTAGAGTTTGGGTTAGGAATGGCTGTGAAGACTAATGCTCTTTAGGCGACAACAACCTCGACGCCTGCCCTGGTATCAAGATGTGCTGCCAGACTACGACTCTGGTAAGTAGAACTGGATCTCTGGAGACGTCTTCTCAAACGTTTGCTAACTTCATCATAGGCACCTCTTGTGGCATTGTGGTGTCAAGATTACCCGTAGGCCGTAGGGGGCCATCATTTCGGAGTCTTTATTGATATTGCGGCATCACTGCTGTAAATGTGTGAAAAACGAGCTCCTCAACCAGGGATAGATGGCACAGAAACAGTCGGCGGCCTTAATTATAATGTTTGGAGCACTGCTTGATGGACAAGCAACGGAAAAGTCATGTTACATTTGAGCTGGAAAGACACTTCTAATCACTGTGGTTTCCCATACCCCCATCTATGCTTGCGTATGTGATACATTTTGTTGCCCACCCCTGGATCATGCGTGTCCAATGTGTCTCCTGTGTACAAGTCTGGTGGCTTTGGAGCCTGGCCTCTTCTCCCTGGAGACGTCCCAGTGCTGTCTATAATATCCCTAATAGTACATGGCCAGAGTGGCCTCGAGTGAAAGGGGATGGTGTCGCTTTGCTTTGACTCTTACTTCCTGCGCTTGATCGTCTTCATAGCCATCTCGATCAGTCCGTCCTTGGCTTCACTGTCTGGGAAGCTGTTGAGAGAGGCAATGGCCTGTTCTGCGTAGTCTTCTGCCAGCGCTCGTGTCTGCTCGATGCCGTCACTTTGGAGGACTAGTTCTCGTGCCTGTGGTTTAGCTGAGTTAGTATGCGATGTTTCGTGATGGGATTCACTTCAATTGAAAGCACGACTCACCCTCTGAACATCTCCTTCCTTTTCAAACTTCCGTCCCACCAGCGACCCAAGCTCCGGGTTCGTTTTCCACGCAAACAGCAGCGGCGCCGTCGCCAGACCAAGCTCCAAATCCGCCCCTGCCGGCTTGCCAAGCTCCTTCTCCGACCTCGTGTAGTCCAGCATATCATCGACCAGCTGGAACGCCAGGCCTAGATTCTTGCCGTACGCATACGAAGCCTCGACAGTCTGCGCGTCCGCGCCGCCCAATATGGCTGCCGCACGGCAGCTCTTGCTGATGAGGCTGGCGGTCTTGAGGTAGGTCTTCTGCAGGTAGTAGGTGACGGTGTCCTCGCTCCACTTGGGGTTGCGCTCGTCGCGGGCCGTGTTCTTGAGCTGCATGAACTCGCCCTCGACGAGGTTGGCGATGACGGTGGCCAGCAGCTCGATGACCTCTGCGTTGCGTAGGCGGGCGAGGGCGACGGAGGCGCGGCCGAGCAGGAAGTCGCCGGCCAGAACCGCCATCTTGTTGCCGAACTCGAGGTTCGCGGAGGGGGAGCCGCGGCGGGCGACGGAGTGGTCGATCACGTCGTCGTGCAGGAGGGAAGCCGTGTGGATGAGCTCGGTGATCTCGGCGAGGCGGCGCTGGGAGGGAAGAATATCCGGGTCTGAGGATGAGGCTTCGGGTTCGGTGGCCGGCGAGGCGAGGGGCCCGGATGGGTTGTAGTCTCGGAGGATAGAGAGGGGGGAAAGCGAGCTGTCGATGGCAGATGCCTGGAGAGCGGGCTGTGGTCGAGGTTCCTTGGGGCAAAGGGCCGTCGCTCGAGACATGAGCAGAACAATGAGTGGCCTGACATGCTTGCCCTCAGCCTGTGTGTAGTATTTGGCGACCCGATCGAGTGACGGGTGTCCTGAGCCGAGTAGTTTGCGGATGTTGCCCGTCAGGAACTTCATCTCCTTGGCTACGATCCTCAATGGGTCGATTGACATGTCGCCCTTGGCCTTTGAGATGGCATTGGAGACGATGTTCCCTGCGACAGCCACCGCGGCGCCCCATGCCGACGAGTCTCTTCGCGGTGAGTTGTGTATGGCCCGAGACTGCCGTATCCTGGCATCAGTCATCTCTGACCATATGCATTGGGAGCAGCGGGTTGTGAGCAGCAGCTGTGAGCTTCGGGTGGCGGCGGCGGCGCGCGAGGCGGCCAGCACCGAGGCTCGCGGTCTCAGCTGCATGATTTTGGAAGAAACTCGACGCCGAGCTCCGGGTCTTTGGGACTCAATTGAACGGCAGAAGCTGCGAGGATGTCGGGGCAGTCATCGAGACGGGGGACGGGCTCCGGAGCGAAGGTGGTCGGCGTGTTTGTTGGCCCGGTATGTCACCTTGGAGGGTCACTGGTGTAATAAGACAGCATCAGCATCTCCTTCATCTGCCACTCAAAAGCCTTCCGATTTTTTTTCCCATCCGGTCCAGCCCGGGATCGAGCTAGGAGTGTGGCTTGACCAGCCATCTGAGCTAGTTTGGCCTGTGAAGGTGTGGCGTAAGCTGCAACCTTAAGTGTCAAGGTGGCTGATGCAAGAACCCCACTATCAGCTTTAGGTAGATACAGTGCTGGAACTTCGTAATTCGCATTCAAACACCTTCAACAAACACAGCATTCAACAATGTTGAGGCCTTCACGATGGTCCTCCTCACCATGACTCCCACAATAGTGGAGGGCCTAAAACTACGAGGAACAACGATAATACCCGGCATCGAGGGAGACAAGGACAGCTCGAAAGGCAATGACCCGTCACTCGATGATCCCGCGGTCGGCAATCCCATTTCTCACGGCCACATCGTCGAACTATGGAGGGAATTGAAGTCGCAGAGCGACGATGGGGTCAAGTTCACCTTGGAGAACTTGCTAAAAGGAGCGCGCATCTACGTGCCTCCGCCACCTCCTAAGCCAGAGAAGGTAAGTCATGCTAGGGCCCTTGCCGTCTTCAATTCCACTTGACTGTGACGGCTTCTTGCTAACTGGGCCATAGTCACCCGAATACAAAGCTCTCATGGCTCGCCTCCGTCGAGAAGAAGAAGAGCGCCAGTACCAACGAATGCTGAACCCGCCCCCGCCGGCAGAGACCTTCTCGCAGCGATTCCCAACGAGCGCATCGACAATGGCATACGGCTTCGCGGAGGTCAACCGGCCCTCCAAGGCAGCCGACTTGGGCGACGACGACGTGACCTACAACGACGTACACAGGCAGTTCATGCTCGTGCTCAACTTCCTGGTCACCATCTTCGGGTCGGCGGCGACGCTGTGGATTTTGGCGCGGTGGTGGAGCACGCCGGCCAGGTTGTTCCTCACCATGGGCGGCGCCCTCGTCATAGCAATCGCGGAGGTGGGACTTTACTCTGCATACATATGGCACCTGTCAGATGCGAAACAGAAGGACAAGAAGACGCGAGAGGTCAAGGAGGTGGTGCAGACGTGGGTCGTGGGAGCTGACGCTGATGGTCCTGCGTTGAAGGAGCCGGATATGATTAAAATTGACGGCAAGAAATTGCCACTGCAAGGAGAGAACGGCGTGAGAAAAAGGAAAAAGGAGCCTTCCTAAGCCAATATTCCACTTCAACAGTATCCTACTTCATTTTCATTCATCCAAACCTCCCGGATGCCTTCACCCTCCATATCATGCACGTGATCTCACACGTGGTGTTCCTTTTCTGAGGCTGGACGCGTCAAGAACGCGCCGCGCGTGTAAGTCGAGTAAAGTGCCGCTGGCCCCACCCTCATCCATCTTCCTTGTAAGAGTAGCATCGAGGGGTCATTATCTTGTTTTGTCCACATGACCTCTACAGTTATTTACATACGGTGTGTTTCCACTACTTCTATCACGAGAGACTGTTTTGTTACACTGGACCATGAGAGGAGCGTGACCTTGCGCAACGCGTTCTCTCACTGCTGGCGGCACACGCATCTGAAAGCTGATCGATTGGGATCGCTTCTGGGTCAATTCGCGATGGAGGAGGCGGCATCTTCTCTGTATGTACTCTTGACTCTTCTAGTCTCTATATCCGCTGATATGCTACTTAGACGACCGCCTCCCTCGTGGAGTGAGGGACCCGCCTCCGACGCAACAGCATCGGCGAAGATGCCCGCCAAGCGACCGCTTCGAACATACAGCAAACGCACCCAGTCAGATAGGGATGGAGAGCCCGTCCTGAAAAGAAGGCGCACTGAAGAGCAAGAGGACGATGGGAACAGGAAGAGAAGGAGTTCAGAGCACGCGTCAGTTGTCGAAAGCCCGAAAGTGCCATCACCTCGAACAACGGCGTCAGCTGCGCGCGGCTCGACCATTATGCACTACTTCCAACCTGTCGCCCCATGCTCAAGCTCGAGGACAACTACTCCAAAACTATCGTCAGAGATAGACCAGCCCGCTTCATCACCCGCATCTTCGCCTCCGATTGTCACACAGAAAGCCAAGCGAGAGCACAGTGTACAGCGCGTGGGCAGCGACCGGCAATCACAAAACCTCACGAATGGAAGCGACACAGAAACATATGAAGAGAGTCACGAGGCGGCTTCAGAATCATCAGACGCTGCAGAGGGCGGTCTGAAAGAATGTAGCGACACCATCCTCAACCGACAGCTACCTCTAGGGCGGAATCGAGATAAGCCTCGAAAAAGAGCGAAACCCACGACGAAAAAGAAGACATCTGTACAAACCACTCTGAGCTTGACCATGGATGCGAATTTCACCGAGTGCAAGGTCTGCAATATCTTGTACAACCCATATCATGCAGAGGATGCAAAGATACACGCAAGGCGCCATGCTGCAATCATTAGGCGGAGGAATCGGGAAGTGAACTGAATTGAATTACATTGCATTGGATTGTGACTTACGGCACGGCACTGAATGGGAGGAGTATGGACAGAACCGATATAGATTATCAATGATACCCAAATTTTTTTGCTTTTCGATTGTTTCATCGCGCCTATGAGCAAGATAGAAACATCTGAACTGTGAAAGGCGCGGTATCGAGCATGATCATCGATCTCAACCCAGAAGAAACTCTTGTCGCTGCAAATGGCCTTTCGTCACTTCATCCGCAGCTTGTCCATCCATGTAGCCATGCACGTAGGCTGTGTTGATAACACTGTACGTCACTCCGGTAGGGCCCTCTGTCGGCCTTAGAACGATCGGGACCTTGCCGCCATCCAGGACCGCAATGACATCGCCTTCCTGGGTTCCTTTCCTGAGCATTGTGTATAGCCCATTGTCAGTGACGGCGAACGTCCAGCGTTGGTAATTCCGTTCCCACATGTCCTGGGACGCAAGTCCCTCGAAGAGCTTCTCAAGCTCAATGTCCCTGTTATTCTCATCCAGGACTGGCTCTCTTCGCAGGATCGTGTCGAACACCGCTCCGTCAGAGACGATTTCATCTTCGGTGAGCCGTTGAATCTTGTAGCATGTGCAATCAACCACCAATGTCCGCCAGTATGCCTGGAGAGCAGGCTCTCCGGTGGCAGGGTACTCCAGGGCCGGATCATCGAGCAAGTCATTCCCAAAAGAGGCTTGCATCCAGTTTCTTGGGATTCTCATCCGCCTGCCAAACTTGTACGGCCGCTGCTTGGCCTGCTCTGGAGTGTCATAGTACTCTTCTTCCTGCACCCGGCCCACGTGTCCGATGATGACGCCGTGGACTCGTAGGGCAATTTCGTTTACGACTTGACACGGGACTTCTAGCGAACAGCTGCCGGCAGAGAAGACATCTCGTTGTGCGAATAATAGTCCTGACCAACTGTCCGTCGATCTGCCTCGAAACCCTGATTTTGTGAAATCGGCCGTCCACGACGCCAAGCCCTCGGTCTTTGTGTTGTCATCATCGTCGCCCCAGGGGTTCTGACAGATGATGTCCAGATTTTCAGACGCGTCAATGATATGCTTCGTCACATCCGCAAAGACGTGTGCCACCGGCTTCGAGTAGTCTACTCGGATATTGAACTTCTCCGAAACCAGCCCTAGCAGGCCGTAGATCTTGTCGCGCGGATCTGTGGAAGAAGCGAACTTGAAGCGGGCGAGGACGTCCAGCAAGGTCGACGTATACCCGCTCGCCGCAACGTCCTGGATAATGCCGCGCTGATGCTGGATTGTCTGCGCGTGCTGGAAAACATGCCTAGCCATGGGACTCATCGACCCATGAGAGAAGGTGATGTGGAACGCATCCGCATACGGAGTGTCACCTAAGAACGAGGCGACATAATTCCAGTCCAGCGTCTCCCGCCCGGCTACCAGTAGGATCTTCGGGGCGCACGACAGCTCTTGCATCACCCATATGCGCTTCCAGATGCGCGGCCAGTAGAAGAGGCTGTTGAGCGCTCTCTCATCCTCCCAGGACACCAACCAGCGGTTCTTGCCATCTTTTTCATAATACTTGGACGTCCATCTTTCCTCCCATTCTGCGCGCATGGAGTTCAGCGTGGTGATGTCCTTGTCGTGGATCTTCTTCATGAGAGCGACGCCTTTGGCCATGTCGACGATGCTCTTCTCTTGTTGTTTCTTGGCGGCTTCTTCTCTCTTCTCTCTTTCCTCAGGATCCGCTACACTAGGGGGCACTTCAAGATCCGAGGGGTTGGGGCCCAGCCAGACGAGATCGGTCTGGCAATGCTGGTAGATGTCCTTCATGAGCGTCACCTGGTGGCTGCGCTCGCCAATGTCCATCTGATTGATACACACGGCGTCGACCCAGAGAGTGCGCTCTTCAGATGGCCAGCGCAGATACCGCAGCGCCGAGTCCAGGTTGGCAGTGATCTTGAACGACTCGCCGTCCAGGACGATGGGGTGGGAGAATTCCACTTTCCCCCAGGTGTATGAAAGCGCCTCGTATGGTTCTACATTGTCGAGTGTAATGTAAACAAGCTTGCATCGGATCTCATCTTGAAAATCCGCCGCTGGCAGCAGCTTCAAGAGACGGATCTCATGCTGCGCGGAGTCTAGAGCGCGATAAATGGTAGAGGCCATTACTGCGCTTGCAAATTGGTTACTGCACCACCAATTGCATCTCTTTCGGACGTCTCGTCTTCGGCTTATATCGACCTTCGGGCATCAAACATCTGAGTGACTTCTGCCCAGCATGAGAGTTGCGCATGCCTTATGGTGATGTTGGTCAATGCAATCATCTCAATGGATGTGTGGCGCAGTGCTTGAACGGCTGTCTTTCAGGGGATCTGCCCGCAATGCGATGCGGAGTGTGTCAGTAGTCAGGTCAGGCAGCATTGGCCAGCCTCCGAAGGATTCCTGGAACATGTCAGCCTCCACTATCCAGCTTGAGGAACGACATGCGTAAGATCACTGCGTGTTCAATGGCCAAGGAGGACTTCTGATGGATTTGAAGTCAGAATCGAAAACAAGTCAAAAGGTAGATGGGTCTTGCGGCATGAGCCTTTTGGCGATACTGGTAGAGCCTGAGAATACCGCAAATCAAGTGGCCCCGAAGTGGTAGGTCACTAAAATCAAATGGAACGCACTCGATTCAAATATCCATATGAATGTCTTGCTTTCTAATTATACATAGTACGTTCGTGGCTACCCTGAAGGCTGACTGCATATAATTTAATGCGACGGCGAGTTGTGACCAGCAGCTTCAATCGCCACCTATTGCCAGGTCTTCTATGATGTCAGATAATATATTATAATTTGACGTTTTGGATAATGTCTAAGGATATTTCTGACCCTTAATGAACGACTTGATTGGAGTGGAAAAGAACTCTCAAGAGCCTCTTGATCTTATAAAAGCAGCCGATACATGGTCTCCGCGGCTGCAGCAGCATCCTTCTTGCCCGCGACCGGCAAATCTATATCAACCAACCATGGCAGTCGAGGATCCTTGGAACAAATGTCCACCGCCGCATTGACAAAGAGCGTCTGCGTGCCTCGCTCCACGGTGTGCTCTCCATCCGAAGATATGTCTACGGCGTAGCAGTGCCCTTCCTTCCTTGGTAGGTAGTGATGTCGTTGGGTCGTTGTTGTAAGTATGGACAGAGGAGTGAGGCTGTACTCTCCTGCACCAGCTTCAGTACTAGCGCTCTTGTTGGCTGGCGATAAACCAGCTATAACCCGGGATTGTTGTGCGTTAACCAGATTGTTGTAGACCGGGGCACTTGGCCCAGAGAAAGCTGCCGCGCAGGAATCGACGATCTCGCGTTTCCAGGTGACCACCTCGGCACCCCACGCCCCATGGATATGCCCGAAGCAGTGCAGGCGCGGCCGTGCTCTCTCTACAGCCGCCAACAGGCCAGCGCACCCTGCACTACCTTGCCGCGTCCCTGTCCCGTCACGGATACCCATCGGCGGGCCGTGCGTGATCACCACGTCTACTGCATCGTCTCCGTCTCCGTCTCCATCTCCATTTGACGTTGCCGGAGGAATGGCCCATCTGTGAGGATTCGACCGGTCGTATTGGAAACCCCAGTTGCCCTTCCGCGGGGTGAGCGGGCTCGCGAAGAGCCGGAGGCGCGCCTCATCGCCTCCCACCCTGGCTAAGTAAGGGTTCAGCACGAAACTGTGTGTCCCTTGCGGGAGGAGGAAGATCCCGTCGCGCTGAGCGGCACAGCGGAGAAGCTCCCAAGAGGTCTTATGGTCGGCGTCCTCCTCAGCCTCAGCTGTCTGTGCAGACAAACTGCTGTCTAGTCGCTGTTGTGGATGCTGAGCTGGGCGGGTGTACGCCCACGTCCGCCGCCAATAGCCCTGCTCGAGGCCGAAATCGTGGTTCCCAGGTATGATTAATTTCAAAGGCGCGTCGATGGCTCGTAGCATCTTCAGTGTCCTCTCAAGTTCCACGGATCGTGAGTCGTTCGTGAGGTCGCCGCAGTGGATGGCCACATCAGCCCTGGGGAGGGTGATATCTTTGAGATCATTCCCATGGGTGTCGGATAAGATGATCATGCGAGTTTTGCGCCGTTGGGAGCTCAGGTGCCTACTGAAGAAGGTGGTAGGTTTGAGAAGTCGGCAGAAAGAAATATATGTATATGTATGGGGGCGAATGGGAAGAAAAGTACTGTGAAGCATGTTCAAAAAGATTGTATTTGGTGCTTGATATAGGTGAATAGGCCACTGTTCGGCAAATATATATCGTGAGATGTTGTGGGCGCAATCCAGCAAACCTTTCTCCGTTAACTATTAGGTCCCTGAATGAAAAAGGCCAAAAAAGGTAGGCGCTACATGTGCACTAAATGTGAACTTCCTTCAAACCCTAGTGTTACAATTCCTAATTTATTTTTTTGAATTCCCATGCACACACAACCCGGATCGTGGTCTGACTTAAAGTAGACTATAGAGACAATGGAGTAGTGAGTTGTGATTTCAAACTGCCTTTTCAAGGCTCTGAGCTTCGCACATCTGTCTATACATGCCTCCAAGCTCAACCAACTCGTCGTGCGTGCCAGCCTCGACAATCTTGCCGCCGTAGAAGACGCAGATACGATCAGCATTCTTGATCGTGCTAAGGCGATGCGCAACCGCGATGGTGATTCTATCACCATGTGCGGCGGCCTTCATAAGAGCAGCCTGCACAACTCGTTCGCTCTCCGTATCAAGCGCGCTCGTTGCCTCGTCCAGGAGAATGACCATAGGCTCTCGGATCAAAGCGCGGGCGATGGCTACGCGCTGTCGCTGTCCGCCGGAGAGTTGGCTTCCGGAGGTGCCACAGAGAGTCCGGACGCCATCAGGGAGCGATGAGACGAAATCCCAGGCATTTGCGGCCCGTAGAGCAGCCTCTATTCGATCGTCCGTTACTTCACTTTCCTGGCCCAGGCCGAACGCGACATTTTCGCGTATGCTCCCGGGATACAGTGCGGGCTCTTGCTGTACTAGTGCCAGCTGTTTACGGTAGAGGCGAGGGTTGAGCTGTGTGAGTGCGTCGCCATCGATTCGGATGACACCACTTGTAGGGTCGTAGAAGCGTTCTAGCATTGCAATCATAGTTGACTTCCCGCAACCAGAGGCACCTACTAAGGCAACAAACTGACCAGGATAGACCTAAAATATGATAAGCAAGAGAGAACAAGTGGCTGAGAACGAGGAGGTGTTTGAATTCGAAGGACGGCGGGCATTGCAACAGTGATAATATATGCACACAAGACACTTACTTCAAGATTCACTCCCCGTAATACTGGGGTTTCTGGTCGTAACGGATAAGAGAATCTGACATGACCAAACTCAATCTGCTGAGCCCCACTGCTGGGACCATGGTCGTGATTCTGAGATGTCTCAGCTATGACTGGCTCTAGAGATCGTAGCCAAAAATAGAAGTTGATGGCATTGCAGCCCTTGGTGATACCTGGAAATCATGAGTCAGTCCAACGGTCAGACACAAAAACCAATCCTACTCACTACTCGAAAAGCTGAACATTTGTCCTACGGACTGTCCAGAAAAGAAAACTCCCATGAATGAGACCATGAACTGATAAAAGGATACTTCACCGCGTGAGGACAGGACAGATCCCCACGCGGTGAAGTATCCTTTTA